GGCGGCCGGCGGCGGCGGAGGCAGCAGTAAGGCCTCCTCCTCGTCAGCCTCCTCGGCAGGGGCTCTGGAGTCCTCGTTGGATCGAAAATTCCAGTCGGTGACCAACACCATGGAATCCATTCAAGGCTTGTCGTCTTGGTGTATAGAGAACAAGAAACACCACAGCACTATCGTCTACCATTGGATGAAGTGGCTCCGGAGATGTGAGTTGTGGGGCGCCCGGGACGGGAGGCTGGGAGGTGGAAGGAAGGACGGCCCGCAACGCTCGGGGCTTCCCCGCGGAGCCGCTGCGTTCGCTCGGGCTGGTTCGCCGGGAAGCTGGGACCGACCTCCCCGGCCCGGGCCGGGCTGCCCCGAACCGCGGGAGGTCCATTTCTTGGATATTTTCTTGCCTCTGACGTGGTGTGACCTTGGGCCGTTGGGCCCAGAGCCTTACAGACGGTCCCCTTTCAGCTCAGACGGAGCTTGCGAGTGGGCTGAGGGTTCCCCGGAGCCCCACGGAGATTGTCGCGTCCGTTTATTTCCTGTAGGCCTTGCTGTGAGTCGTCTCCGGTTCTCCTGGTGTGGACCAGGGATGTTTCAGCGTGGGAAGTCCACTCACTCAGCCAGACGTGCTAGACCGTTTCGTGTTTTCTGCTGAGCTGGAACTTGTGAAATGTAGTGAGGATGGCCTTATCTGGGTGTCCCTAAAACTTGTGATGTGTTCTGAAGGAGGACTTACCTGGATAGGTGTTACAGGAAACAGCATGAGCTCTGCGTGGGTCTCGGGCGACCGACCACCTGCTCTCCTTTTACCTGTGTTTGCTGCAATAAAATAAAGACTTCTTGATACGGACCAGAAACAATTGGGATAGTTAGTGTCATCATTAAGACCTTATCGTGGAAGACATATTTGCCTACTTTTTAAGATACCTGAAGTATAGAATTTTCTTTTTTTTTTTTTTTTACAGAATTGAATTTGTTTTCGTAGGTAATCAAAACGGGAAACGTGCTTTTTTAAGCATATGATACTTTTTTTTCCCCTTAGTTATTGCTTTTTTGCCTTGGTACGTGTGTGTTTCTCCCCACTTTGGTGCTGTACTACAGAAAAGAGGTCCATTCAGCATGGACTTTTCCAAAAGATTTCAAATTCTTTAGGAGAAAATGTGGAGAAGTCACTTGCTTCCTGCTGAGAATAGAGGGTTAACCCAAACTTCACATACATCTGTTTGGATTTTAGTTTGCTTTCTCTCTCTAGCATGTTACCAGTGAGACTGGTCATTCAGTTATTCTTACTTCTTATCCTACTTCTGCCATTGCCCCTGCAGTGTTTTGATTTGTCTTTACCTTGGATAAAGCTTGCAAAATTATAGGTCCAAAGCTTCAAACCATTTGTGTTGGAACTTATTGTTGGAAATATTTCTTATGGTTTTTTGAATAATAATACTAAAAATTTAGTTAGTAGAGAAAGACAGGATTAGTTAATCTCTTTGCCAATAGCAGATCAAACCTTCTTGCTGGAATGTAAAATTATAACCTAGAATATCAAATATGCTAGCAGTCATTATCAAAGACTTATCATGTGTCTAGTATGGGCCAGACATTTCATTATTCCATATAATATACTTTATAATGTACTGAGAAGTGGTGTTTGTTTGTTTGAGTAATAAGATTGAACACAGGGGTGCTCTATCTTTGAGCTTCTTTCCCAGCCCTCTTTATTTTTTATTTTAATCCAGGTTCTTGCCAAATTGTCCAGGCTGGCCTGGAGCTTGCCATCCTCCTGCCTCAGCCTCTCTAGTACCTGTGATTTTAGGACCATGCCACTGGGCTCAGCTGAGAACTAGATTTTTCAACCATGGTTTACAAAAAGAGAACATTAACACTCAGAAATGTCAGGTTGCTAATGGTTACTCTGTAAAATGTTGTAGTTGGGAACTGGCTCCACCATTAACTTTGTAAAATAATGTTTAATGTACTTGGTACACCACAGGGAGCAAACATTGCTAATGTGAGCACGAGAACCAGTTCTCCACTCTGTCTTACAAGGTTTTTACTAAATTATGCAAAAATTTTATATTTCCTGCTGTTGAGTTCTACTGCTTTAATTCTTATGATTACATCTTTTGCAAGAATAAGGTGGTCCCTGTCCTTACCTTGTGGGATTATAAATGACAATTACCAGATGTTTTTTCCCAGTCAGTAATAATGTGATACACTGGAGCCAGAATTTTTCTGCCTGTGCTATTGTTGATAACATGTACTATGTCTGAGCTTATTTCCTCTGTTGATATCTTAAGAGTGAAAAAATGATTGCTCTAAGAAGGAAATAATTCAGCTGAAGTTAGTTCTGTGTAGTTTGTGTAGTTCTTCAACTATAAAAGCTTTTGACTTTATAAAACCTGGTATGATTTTCCTAGGGGAATGGAATTTAACTTTCTAAAATGGGTAGGGGTAATTCATAATCATTTTGTTCTTACAACTTGGTTATAAATAAAGCCTTTTTTTTTGTTGTTGCTGGGGCCTTATGCATAAGAGGCAAACACTGTACCAACTGAGCTATATCCCCAACCCTTAAATAAAAACTTTGAGATTTAAATGAGTGGTGAAGGGTCCAATGAAAATAGTTTGTGTATTGGACCACATTTTCATTTAATTTTATATTTCTTTTTAAAAATCTTTTTCTTTCTTTTTTTTTTTTTTTAGTTGTAGATGGACACAATACCTTTATTTGTTTTTATGTGATGCCTGGAATCGAACCCAGTGCTTCACCAAGCTAGGCAAGTGCTCTGCCACTGAGCCATGTCCTTGGCCTCTTAATTTTATATTTCTTTACAGTTATACTTACATTAGTTTGAATTTGGTTGTTAAGTCTACTTTAGACAAAATTGTGAAGTAGGTATTTCAAAATTCTAATCTTTCTGTCCATTTTCCTGATGCCACTTTTGCTTTTTTTTTTTTTCTCTCCTGACATCCACGATTTAGTAATTCAGATCTCTATGTAATTTAAGTAAATGCTATTCCAGAGATTTTGTGTGTGTGTGTTTGGGGGGACAGGTACCACATCTTCAGCTGTATTTTGTATTTTATTTAGAGACAGGGTCTCACTAAATTGCTTAGCACCTCCCTACCTTGCCTTTGCTGAGGCTGGCTTTGAATTCACAGTCCTCCTGTCTCAGCCTCCCAAGCCGCTGGGATTACAGGCATGCGCCACCATACCTGGCTTCCAGAGATATTATTTTATTTACTTAATTTTTGTGGTGCTGGAGATGTAACCTAGGGCCTCCAGCATGCTGTTCAAGTGCTCTACTATTGAGCAACATCCCCAGTCCTCAGAGTTCTTTTCATTTTATCATTCATTTAATAATGTGTCATAAGAGATTTTTATTCACCAAAAAGAAAAATAAATTATAAAGGAAATAATTTACTGAAAGCAAGTGTGCTCTCTGAAGATACAGATTAATCAGTTTTCTTCAAACATCTTAAAATTTTGCTTGGCTGTAGTGTTTATTGTCTCTCTTTCTTTCTTTCTTTTTTTTCTTTTTTTGGTACTGGAGATTAAACCAAGGGTTTAACTTTCGCATGTTAGGCAAGCACTCTACCACTTCACTATATCCCTAGTCCTCATGATCTCATTTAAAAAAGTTATCTTTCAGTAGTATAAGCAGATGCTTATTTTTAAATCTTTTCTCTGCTTTAAAACCCTCCCTTGATACCCCATTGCAGCAGAGTTAAGTTCTAAACTTCTTTTACTGTGTTCTACAGCATAAGACCCTACACTTAACTGCTCTGCTTGCTTCTTAGTTCTTTTCTGATCCTACCTTCTCTTCATTTATATGTAACCTCAGATATTACCTCCTCAGAAAGGTCTTGTTCACCTTCAGTTGCTATTATGTCATCTTATTTTCAGTATATGAAATCACTTATTACATGTTTATTGTCTATTTTCCTTTGTCAGATGACAACCTGTGTTTTATTGCTGTATCTCCAAGCAACTAGAACAGAATGTGGCATTTAGTAAAGCAATCATTAAATATTTATCAACAGTGGTGTGAAATAATCAGATACTTGAGGAACAGAATTGTTTTTAGTTTTTTTTTTTTTTGGTATTGGGGATTGAACTCAGGGGTATTCTACCACTGCGCCACATCCCTAGCCCTATTTTTTATTTAAAAAAATGAGCAGGTTCAGGATGTGGCTCCTACATGGATGTGATGTGCAATTTGACTTGATTATCATTTCTATACTTCATTCTTCTTTCCCATTTTTATTCACTTGTTTCTTTTCTTTCATTTTATTTTTGGTACTGGGGATTGAACCCAGGGGTGCTTAACCACTGAACTATATCAGCAGCCCTTTTTTCTAATTTGAGACAGGGTCTCTCTAGTTGCTTGGGGCCTCTCTAATATTGCTGTACTGGCCTTGAATTGACCATCCTACTGCTTTACCTTCTGAGTCACTGGGCTTACAGGTGTGTGCCGTCTTGCCTGACTTCTTCCCATTTTTAATGTGTAATGATAATCAGTATGGAAAAGTAGAAAAACATAGACTTTGGAATTAGACCTAGGTTCAGATCTTAACTCAATCACTTCATCTTGGGTGACATACTATGTGAGGTACTTAAACTGTGATCATTAATTTCTCATCAATAAGTAGAGATAATAATGATCTTTCATAGGATTGTTATCTAAGTATAAGAAGATAATGCATGTATTTTAGCATGCAACCTAGGACATAAAAAAATTGAAATTATTTACTATGATAATTCATATAAAAATAGTCTTAAAAATCCTGAATATTCAAAATAAATTATGACAGAACCTTGTTTTGAGTACAGTGGTAGAATTTACATTCTTGTTTGGCAGAAGATATATTGGACTAGATTCCCTAAAGTGATAGTGAATTTTGCAAGTTCTCTGAAGAACTAGTAGAAAAAAATGTAAAATACTATGTTTATGATACCTCTATTTTGTCTTCTTTCTTTCTTTTTTCAGTAGAGGGAATCTATTTTATTAATATAGTTTTGTATAGTAGCAAATGATCTTGGTTTGGGTTTTGCAGTTTGATAAATCCTTTTGTAATTTATGGACTCTGGAGTGTATCCTAGAACCCAGGATTTTATTCAGCAGTTGATCCTTTTTAGCGCCTGTTTCATCTTTTTTTTTTTTTCCCCTTTTTCTCAACATTTTGTTTCCATCTACAATGTTTATTTCTCTAAATCTTT